CGTGAATCACATCAAATTATCGGCATCGACCAGACCACATGCATTTTTCTTGATGTAAGCTTGATGTTAACATTTTCTTCTCCAACAACCTTTGCAACATTAGAATCTCCCATGAAAACTTGTTCTTCTTCTTCACCAATACTAGAATAAGAGGAGAATAAATTTTTATTTGCACATATATGACGAGTGGATCCTGAATCTATGACTCATGCTTTTTCTTTAATAAGATTAACTTCTAAGATTATAGCAATAACAATATCATTGGTTTCTACAATATTGACATTTGATTGGTCGTTCAATTTTTTGTGCCTACATTGTCTAGCAAAATAACTTGGTTTTCCACAAACAAAACAATCACTTTTCTTCTTTTGTTCATTTCCTTTGACTTTGAAATTTTTATTTCCTTATTTTTGTTTGTAGAGATATTTTTTAAAACTTTATCTATTCTTATTCCCCTCTTGTATCAAATTTGCATTATAAGTAAAATTTATGGCCCTTTCTAAATCAGTCTTTTTATGGTTAGTCTCTTCAATTCTAATATCAATAATGACATGCTCTAAAATCATATCCTCAAGCTTATGCTTCATCATATTTTTATATTCCTTCCCAGATTCAGGAAGTTTCTCAATCAATGATGCAATGACAAAAGATTCTGGAAAGTTGATTCCTTCATTCATAAACTCACTAATAAGGATATGAAAATCATATATCTGAGTAGAAATTTCCTTAGAGTCATTCATCTAAAAGGTAAGAAATTTCCTACAGTGTACTTCTTAGTTCCTGAATTTTCAAGCACATATTTCTTCTCTAATATTTTCAAAATTTTCATAAAAATAATGCCTTTTAATTACAAATTTTATGATAATTAATTTAAACATTTTCAAATCATGTCATGAAATAATAATAAGTATTTCTGTTACAATAATAATTATTTTCGTTATAATAGTAATAATTATTTCTGTTATAACCAAGGCTTTTAAAACCGGATCGGACCGGCCGGTTCAACCGGTTGAACCGCGAACCGACTGGCCAGCTGGTTACGGTTCGCCTCAGAACCGTTTTCGCGTCGAACCTGTTTGAATAGTTGCTATTTGAATGAGTTATAT